TGAACTTTAAGTCCCTACAGAATATGATGAAAAAATATTTAAAAAATTAAATTATATTTTAAAAATAGGCATAAAGAATTATATAATTCTTATGTTTAGACATAAGTCCACAAATCTAACCATATACAACCTTCTAGCAGGACAGTCCCGCAACATTCCTTTTCCTGTCTCCTGCCTTCATTCACCACCCCCTTCCTTTTTGAATAGTCATCTATCCGAGAGACAGCACGGCAGCAACTAGCCAGTTAATTTTTAACTATCATTTTGATTCAAAATTTTTGCATGAAGTAGTCATGGAGAACTTGCTGTTAGAAGACTTTGTGATTTTGAAGATTTTCGGTTTGCTTATGGGTCTAGAGAAATTAAATATAACTTTAAACCCACCAGGTTTATTATAACAGCATCATATATGTTTACCTTTATTTAAATTTTTATATATACCTGTGGAGTGCAACAAGGGCTGGATAACATTTGTTGACAAACTTTTTAGGACAGGAAAAGAGATTATATGACTTGGCATATGAAAAATGCATACTGAATAACATAATGAAATTCTGGTAACTACTTTATTTTCTTAAAGCTCTAATAAAGGAGAAACCATGATTTTTGCCAAATCAGTATCTAAAGGAATGAAGTAGAGTTGCTTTTTTAAAAGTTAATTTACAGTCTGTGTAAAATGTTTAAGACTGAACAGTGACTCCTTGCATCGTTTCTTTCAGATTGTGAGCATGTGCAGCCTCCGCAGTGGCTCCAGACGCTGATGAGTGCTTGCAGCCAAGCCAGTGATTTCAGTGTTCAGAGCGTTGCCATTTCGCTAGTCATGGACCTGGTGGCGCTGACTCAGTCTGTGGCCATGGTCACTGGGGAAAACATAAATAACATGGAGTCTGCACAACCCTGGAGTCCAAACCAGGGAAGAGTAGCCGTGGTGATTAGACCCCCTCTCACTCAAGGCAATCTGAGGTACATAGCTGAGAAGACTGAATTTTTCAAGGTAAATTCTAAGTAGTAGTATTATATGACCAAAATAATCTCTGCAAGTATTATACTTGGCCTCAGGCAGTAAAGCCACGGAGGAAATAATTTCAACTAAAGGAGGAGGAAGGCCTGACGTGGTGGTGTACACCTGTAATCCCCAGTACTCGGGAGGCAAGGGCAGGATTGAGGCCAGCCTACGCTAAGAACTGAGGCCTTGTCTCAAAAGCTCACCCCTCCTCACCAAAAGAAAAAAGAGGAAAGGAGAGATCCCACTTATGCAGTTAAACTTACTTCTAGGTTGTGCACTTCTGCTCTGCTTTGCATATAGTAAAACTTCATCTTTCCAAAACTTCCATGACAAGTTTTTCTTACTCTCCATATTGTCTGATTATTACTTATAGTTTATGATGTCATTCAGAAAAAAATGTCAGGATAGTTATCTTAACATACATAAAAATGACATCAGGTAGATTTGAGTTGTATCATCTTAAACTGGTAAATTATACATTAAAAAGTTTTTAAAATCTGATTTCAGATTATTGTGCCCTTCCAGATATTTCCTCCTGCTAGATTTATCTTGATTTCTATAATGTTGTAATTGTGAGCATCCCAAAGATTCTTGGTACTAAGTCCAGCTAGTGCTGTATGAATACACGTACCCCCAGAATATATGCCATTTATTTTATAGAGGTCTTTGGGCTGAGGTGTAGCTCAGTGATAGAGTCCTTGCTTAGCATGCATGAGGCCCTAGCTTTAATCCCCAGCACATGCAATGTACACACAAAACTATTTTAAGTACAGTAGTTCAGATACTTGAACATGAATTGTGTATCATGCTGTGACACATAATTAGAAAAATTAAATTATATTCAACTTGAGATTTTTATCTTATTAAAGATAATGTATGTATTGTAGCATTATTTTTACTGTCACCAAAATAATAAAACAAAGGTTTTATCTGGGCCTTGTAGAACATGCTTATAACATTCTGATGTTTAAAACAAATATTAAAGGATCATCCTCATGAGCAGTTCTAAGGGTCCAGGTGGCCAGAAATAGAAGAGTAGAAGCCTTTACTTTTAAATCTCATCCCAGTTTTATGGTGAACTTTTATGTCTGGCAGTCCAAGAGAAAGTACTAATTTATACATAGCAGGAAATGTGTGTTAGATAAAGTTTTACGTATAGTTTTATAACACAGTCACTTTTACATCTTTTTCTGCAGCATGTAGCTTTGACTTTGTGGGACCAGCTGGGGGATGGGACACCTCAGCACCACCAGAAGAGTGTGGAACTGTTTTACCAATTACATAATTTAGTTCCTTCTTCTAGCATCTGTGAGGATGTGATAAGTCAGCAGCTAACCCATAAAGACAAGGTAAATCCTTCCTGTTTCATGTTGTATATACAGTATGCACACATCATACCAAGAGGTAAATTTTAAAATGTAGGAAAATTTTTAAAGCAAGCACGTGGATAAGAAATAGCTTTGTTCAGAGTGATTTAATATATTTAAATGTCTTGTTCTGATCTCTCTATAGAAAAGTTCTTTATGAAAGCATCAATAATATAAATAATCCAAAATCAAATACTGGGTTTCTTTCTTGGTTTAGGACATTAGTATGGGTATTGTGAGTAAACTTGTATTTCTTGAGACATTTAGAAAAGAATCAGTGTCTGCAGTTATGAAACCCAAAGATATGTTACAGCTGGTGTATGTGAGATGAAATAATGTGGGTGTTATGTTTATAAGGTCTGTGTTAGTTGTCTATGTACTCCTCTGGGGTTTTGGCTGGCTCAGCCCACCCTGAGAGCAGGGCTGGCGTGGCATGTGGTGCTGGGGATCGAACTGCGGGTGCTCTGACCTGTCTCTCAAGCCCTATATACGAATATTATTTTTTTAGTCCTATAAATATATCCAAGATAAATGTTGTGCATCCTAACATATATGAAGTGATATGTAAGTTAGGTATGACACCTGAGTTATAGGTAGGTAGGAGAGGAAAAACTCACTGACTGATGTCTTTTGCTGAAGGCAATTTTTGTGATCTTGAAGGGCTTTTAAAGCAGATTTTTAAAAAATCTGAACCGCTAGTGAGTTTCAAAGGGTTACATTTCAAAAAGTGTCGTGTTAAGTAAAAGACCTAGCAAAGAAAGTGATAAATGAATTAAAAAGTGTCACAATTTTATTTTTGCTTCACTATATTCTTTCAAAATTGTTTGTGAATAAAATATTAAATAAAATTTTGGGGTTGTTTGTGAGACGGGTCTCCCAGTGTTGCCCAGGCTGGCCTCAAATGTGATCCTCTTGCTACAGCATCCTGAATAGGTCTGCACCATCAACGAACTCCCACAGTTTAAGTTAAAAACTTACATTTTTGCATTAAATAGATATATATTTATCTCCATGAGTGAAATTAGAACACCTTTGCTACTTTTATCTTTACATGTCTGTTGGCTTATCTTTAAACATAAGCTTGATAAGAAATGCATTTAATAAGCCCATAGAAAAAATAAACCCTTTGCTAACTTATATATGGTTGAAGGAGTAGCAGTCTGGTTTCGCAGGGCTTTTTTTTTTAAATATTTATTTATTTATTTATTTATTTGTGTGTGTGTGTGGCCAGCTCAGCCCACCGGGGGCGGGGCTGGCTGGCATGTGGTGCTGGGGGATTGAACCGTGGTCCCTTGTACTTTGCTAAGCTTGTTCTAAGTAGGTGCTTTAGACCACTGAGCCATCTCACCAGCCCATCGCAGGGCTTTTGCATGTAAGAGTTCACAAGTGCTAAAGGAAGTATTCATAGTGTCATCATTTCCACTGCATTTATATTACACACATGCTTATTATATAATACCAAATGCTTTTCTAAGAGATAATTAAATAGACTAATCTTCTTTTAAAACATCCCCAAAGAGGTTGATATATTCTCATAGAAATAATTTTTAAGTTTTTAAAATTTTAGTATGACAAACCAGTTTAAGGAGTTAAGAAGGCCAAATAGCTCAGTGGATTAAAGCGCCTGCAAGCAGGCACAGGGGCAGGGGGTTTGATCCCCGGGCCTGCCATGCTGGCCCCACCCCGGTGCACAGAGACTGCAGTTGAGACTGGGCATGGTGCCGCATGCCTATAATCCCAGCTCTTGGGAGGCTGTAAACAGGCAGATCACTATGAGTCTGATCTAGTAGTGAGACCCTGAACACCCTGTAGACCCTTCCCTAAAATACAAAAAAAAAAAGTGATGAAAATTTCACTTGAGAGTAGTAATTTCTGGAAGAAAAAGTAAATTTTAAAACTAAATATTTATACTAAAGTGAGGATAGAAAATTTTATACTCACGCTCACTTCGGCAGCACATATACTGAAATCAGAATGATACAGAGGTTAGCATGGCCCTGCGCAAGGATGACACACAAATTCATGAAGCATTCCATATTTTTTCCATAGTTTTATTGAGAAATAGCAATGAGACAGTTTCAAATCAAATTGGTAGGACAGTTCCAATAATTGACACATTGCATACTGCCTTCCTAGTGGTTGTTTGCTGTATGAGATGCAGAAATGATATCCTATTTACAAACACTATTAGAACAAATCCCTCTATTCATTGAGAATGTAGCTATATATCTATCCTAACCATTTTGAATACACAGATACAAAATGGACATTCATCTATATCCCCTTTTTTTGTTTAGTTCCATCATTTAAATATTAGAGGTATGTGAACTCTGCAAAATATTCTAAGAGTCCAGTAATCCATAATAGTATTGGGTCTTCCACTTCACTGGCAATGTCAGAAATTGTTGAACTGAGTCCCCTACAGCTCAACATAACAGCATGGCTTTACTTCTTATATTTCGTTTTTATACTTTTCTGCTGGATGGTTAAGACCAAGATAAAGCAAGACCTATGCAACAAGAATTATAGCTTTTGGATCTGATAAGGTCAATCAAATCCCCTCAGGAAGCGTTCCATATTTAAAAGAAAAAGAAAATTTTATGCTCAAAGATGTGCTATGTACATTGTTAGCTTTTTCATCCTATTATAATCTAGTAAGTGGATTAAAGTTTAAACAAAGTAATTGTTATTTTGAAAGTAGAGTGAGATAATCCTTTTGGATTAGTATTTCTATTGTAAGTATTTTCTGTTTTTCTACTTTATCAAAATGTAATAAAAGTCTATTGTAAGGCATATTTGAATCCTGTGGGCCTTGAACATAATAATACTCCTAAACAGTTACTTTGATTTTACTAAAATCAGTTACTATTTTCAAGAGAGAGTAAAATAACTCAATCTCCCATATTCCTCTCAGAAAATAAGGATGGAAGCACATGCAAAGTTTGCAGTTCTTTGGCACCTAACAAGGGATCTCCACATAAATAAGTCATCCTTTGCACGTTCTTTTGACAGGTTGGTTATATTTTATATTCACATGTTATAGATAAGTTATTGTCTCTCATTCAGTCATCTGTCTAGTGGTCAGACTGGAGATAGAAATTTACAATTTTTGAACATTTACTTATTAGCAACCACTTCCACGGTACTAGTTACCAGAGAGCCCTGACTAGAATGTGGCATATGGTGGGAAGAAAGAGAGCAAGAGATGAAATAGGGCTGCAGGCAGGGGTCTGGGATGGCCAGTGGTTCTCAGGAAACAGAGGGCCAGTAGTCACCTAGAACCTTGGTATGTATTCATCACCTCTGGGTGACAGACACTAGGAGAAGGGCAAAGGGTGTTGCTGGGAATAGTAATGGTGACAAAGCACTCTTGCTGGGGATGTGGTTCAGGGGCACAGCACCTGTGTGGCAAGCTCAATGTCCTGAACTTGATTCCCAGTATCAAAAAAGGGAAAAGAGAGAGAACGAAGCACTCACACAAGGATAAGGACAAGGATGAAACTGGTGTTTGCCCAGGTGCCCGTGTCTCCACCTGGTCTCCCCTGGCCCTGTGAGCATCAGCACAGTCATTAGCCCTACGGCTTCCAGCTGTGACCAGAAAAGAGGAGAGTTTCCACTTTCCAGTCTGGCTCAAGGAAAGGAGAAGAACAAGCCTGGACATCACCTAGACTAAACTTATAATTTGTGGTCCCCAACATTTAGTTTCTTAAATCTAAGCTATATTAATATGCATGACAATTTCATTCATCCATCAGATTTTCCCTTCCCAGCTCTGGAGGACCCAGTGTCCCCTCCTTTCATTGAGCCATAATTCATCAGGTCCCTGCTGTGTGCCAGGCATCATTGTAGATGCTGGGAATACAGCAATGGGTACAGCTCCTCTTAATTCTTTTTTTTGTTTGTTTGTTTGGGTTTTTTTGTAGAACCAGGGATTGAACTCAGGCCCTTGCGCTTGCCAGGGAAGCGCTTATTCCACTGAGCCACCTCCCCAGCCCCTCTAATTCTATATGCATATACAAGCTGCATATAAACTATTTTTAAGAGTTTCTCAAGAAATTGTTTTTAGTGTATTGTCTCAACTGAACTTAATAAAATCTATAATTGAAAATACTGCCGTACCCCTTTAATAGAATCAAAGAACTGTGGTTGCTAAAAAGTGGTTTTGCTTTTTTGTCTAGATCTAAAAGCTATTAGCTAACATATTCAAATAATGAAATTTTCATTAACTCCTAAGGAGCTGCCATTTATTGGTAGACTCACATATTATCAAAAGATAGCACTTGCATCTGTAGGCCTCATAGAAGTGGCTACCACTTAACTGTATTTGAGACCCATTTTAGGATCAGATGTGTGGTGTATTGGACATTATATTTCAGCTGATGCTCTTTCAGCCAGCATCACCTTTTTTTAAAAATCAAACTGAGGACCTTGTGCTTGCCGAGCAGGCACTTTGGTTGCTGAGCTACATTCCCAGCCCAGCATCACCATTTTTAATTGGTCTTCATCAACACTACAATGAAGGAGGCCCTGGGCTTAGTACGGAACAAGTAACCATTTGTATTTGACGGTCACCCTACCTCATCTTACAAGTGCGGTAATGGAAGTCCAGAGACCACATAAGGTATTTGTTTGCCAAGGACCACATAAGCTATTTGCATCTTGAGTTTTCTAGTCCAGCATTCACAGAAGACCTTCCCTGGAATTAAGTGGATGGCTTTGACTTCTGAAGAGAATAGGAACAGAACAGCACTAATCAGCATGGAAATAATGTTGACTGGCAGTAATTTCATACTTGATGAATTAAGACTAAATATGTTTTTCTGCCCTTAATTTTTCATCTTATAAAAGTAATGTAATTTTGTGTTATTTTAAAAACACAAGTTTTTTTAAAGGGAAGGATTATTTTCTGCTTTTTCACTGTTTCTACTGAGATTAAGATAAAAATACTTTGCACATGTTTTTTTTCTGAAAGCACAATTACCTTATAGTTAATGAAAAATAAAAATGTAATTTATAATGTTAATTGCAGAAAATTGAAGTATTACAGTTTTGGTGTTTTGTTCTTCATTTCAATTATTGATGCTTATTTTAGGTCCCTGTTCATCATGTTAGACAGCCTTAACAGCCTTGATGGTTCCACGAGCTCTGTGGGACAGGCCTGGCTGAACCAAGTCCTTCAGAGGCACGATATTGCAAGAGTTTTGGAACCGCTGCTGTTGCTCTTGCTTCACCCAAAAACTCAGAGGGTTTCAGTACAGCGTGTTCAAGCAGAACGCTATTGGAATAAGATTCCCTGTTACCCAGGAGAGGAGAGTGACAAACATTTCATGCAAAATTTTGTCTGCAGCAACGGTAAATATCACATGAAAGTAGAATGCTTGTATTTAGAACTAAGGCATTAAAACAAAATGAGATGTAAACACACCAGAGACTGGCAAAGAACCACACGTGTGATTTCTTTCCTCTCGGGCTTATTTCCTCCCTTTGGATGCACTGGCAGTGCCGTGCGGACCAAGTCACAACGTGCTTCGTTAAGGACCGCCGTAGCATTCTTTGGATCTCTTTTTTCAGTGAGCGTTCTCGGTGGGGATATTAGTCACAGCTGCTGTTAGAGACATTCTGTAATTTTGATGAAAAATACCTTTCGAGCTTATTTAGCAACCCTCATCCTGCAACACATGGACATACTGCACTGGGAATTTATAATAAGCCTGAAATGCATATTTTATGTTTGATTTCTCTATAAAATAGAACTAATAATATTATTTGTTGCTTTGTTATAAACTTTAGATGCAGCCATTATTAAGACATGCTTGGTAGTGACTGGGATATCCGAAATGTTCAATAAATATTGATATTCTTACTACAGCATCCACCCTTTGCAACCTCCTAAGTGATGCCCTCTGTACAACAATAAGGGCCCTGTATTATATTTTAGACATGAAAGACTCATATGTCTTATTATATCCTTTGACAAATGACTTCATGAGGTCACCAACAGAGGTTATTTTACCAAACAAATTGCTGATGTTCAGTTCAACTATGGCATCTCCAAAGTCCCTTGGCTGGCAAATGGAGAGGCTGGAACCAAACAGTCATGTTCCTTCTCTGTCTGTAGTGTTTTTCTCTGAGGCTTTTGTTCATCCCTCTGGTTTCACCCCACCACTTAGCATGGATAATCTAAGAAATCACTATTGAGCTTATTGCTGGAATACCCCAGTGGTAGCCCTTTACCTGCCATAGTGTCTTTCTGGGGACTTCTACTTCTGCTGTAAGGTCTGAGGCTGTCATTGCATGAGTTTGATACCATTTGGCTTATGCTACTCATGGCATTGAGCGTTCCAGCTTTTCCAAAAGAAGACCATCAATATAGTGTACTCCCACAGAGGTACAGATGTGGGTGACTGTATTGGCAGTTTCCTACTAATTTTAACAAGTTTGCTGTGGGGCCGTAATTTGCATGTCTTGCTGCTGAGTTGCTCTGAACTGTGGGTGGTACATACCTGCCTGCCCATCAGGAGGCATGGGCCAGTCATGAACATATCACCAGTGGTACAGACTCTTTGCTGGGATGCTTAAGCATGGGCCACTTGTAGCTCAAGGTGGAAGAAATGTTTAAACTCCTAAGAGAAGAACAGTGAGGTCTCTTCCTTCCTTCCTTATCATTTCCAGGTTAGGAAATTACAGATAACAGATAATTCATTACTGTTTGTTGAGTTTTATTAAAATCAGATAGGTTATCTGTTTATACATTTGCCTATATATTGAACTTTTTAGATTCTTTGAGCCAGCATAACTGAAGGACAGTAGCATACAGGGAGGAAAAAATTCAACCTCTTGTAAAAAGATTGTCATATTTTTGGGAAAAGACAATTTTTATATCTGTTAGATTACATTCTCAATATTCATCTCTATCGTTTCCTAACAAGTTCTAAAATGATAAGATAGGTAATTAAAGTAATTATTAAAAATTTTGAATTCAGTTTACCTTCCCACATTTCATTTATTTTAATATATTTTGGATTTTTTCCCCTTCTTTTAC